GCTTCACTGGCCCAAGTTGGCACCATCATTACGCTCTTGCTCTTCCCAGGCGAGGCAGATCAGTCGCCAGCTTTTGGACTGCCACTCACTGCGGCTTGAGGGCCGGTCATGCTGGCTGCTGGCTACACACGCCCATGGCAACCCACTGCAGCAGGGGCTGCAGCCTATACTGACACTGGCGACTCACGGCAGCCCAGCTCCAGGTTGAGCTGTTGTTCAGCATCTTAGCTGTAGAGGGCAGTGTCACTAGCCCTCGTATGTGGGATCCGAACGGGGGCCCTCTGGCGTCCCAAGCCAGCTCTTAACTAACATGCCACTGGGCAGGCCCAGCCCTGGGAGGTTTTAACTCCCATCCCCTAGGAGAGAGAGAAATACATGATTATAAAAAGCCGAATGAAGTTGAATAAACGTACAAGGTTTCTTTGGAGGATGATGAAAATGTTCTAGGATTCTAGTGACGGTTGACTCTGTAAGTATACTAAAAAACCACTGAATTTTACATTTTAAACTGGTGAACTTTATGATATGTAAATTATACAAAAAGAAAAAAAAGCTGAAACCCTCAGGAACTGGCATCCGGATTCTTGGCGAAAAGGTTGGAAAAGAGTCCCTTTGTGGCACAAAAATGTGATGAACATGTTCGTGACACTCCCAAAGGTGTGCCGGGAGTAGGGCGCGACTGTGGTGAGAAAGCCAGGAGGGGAGTTTAGACACAATTGAGCAGGAAAGCAGGCAAGTGGGGGCTGGTCCCTTGGCTGTAAAGAAAGCTGTTTCTAACCCAATAAGAATAAGCCAAGTTAATTAGGGCATGGGAGCTGTTTTCTACTTTTTTTTCCTCACAGATCTTAGGTACAAGTTTGTAATTCATCCAATTCTTGAGCTCATGGCTTGCTGACAGTAGCACCCCTCTCTATTTTTTTTTACTTTCTAGTCCCACTTCCAGTCCTCATTCTAGTTATAGACACCTCCTTTGTTTATTTTTGAAGCTCTATTTTTCAAACATATAGTGTTGTGAAGAGATGCATGGCTTTAATTTATATAAATAATATTGCACAAGAGTTATCATTATGTTTTTCCTTGCTTGAAATTGTTTTCAACATCTATCCACTGCAGCTGTATACCAGTCTATCAGAAATAGATCCAGCCATTCGTTTTGGTTTACTGTCTATTCAGTCTTGGCCCATCTTTCTGTTGGGCTACTTGTCTTTTCCTTGTTGATTTCCAGGAGTTGCTCGTATTCTAGATAATTCCTTGTGGGTTTAAATACTGCAAATATGTCACACTCGTCAAGTACCTTTTCAAAGATTAGCAAACCTCCTTAATACTAACGCCCAAATCAACCCATTTTAAAAGTCTCTTATATGGAAATAATCTCAAATGTATAAAAAAAGTTGCAAGAATAAGAGTTTACAAAGAACACTCACATATCCTCTACTGATTCACCTATCATTACCATTTTACCCCATTTAAAAAATCATTTGTACTTCTATTTATATCTTATTTTTTATCAACTGTTTTTAAAGATGCATACAATGCATGGCCCTTTACCCCTAAATACTTCAGTATTAATATTTCCTAAGAATAAGGATATTCTCTTGCACAACCACATTAGTTACAGACTTCAGTAAATTTAACATGGCTACAACTTTATCTAATTGGCTGTCAGTTTCTCACTGTAGAGGTACTATTTTTCTATTGCAATAAGCAATCTGTGGGGAGGCATTTTAAGGCCATGCAAATAAATGTCCTATTCCTGTGTCAACACTTCCCCCCAGATTCAGCATCTATTGATAGTTTTTGCTTGATCCAATCTTTCCCCATGGTTACAAGATAAAATCTATCAAGTTTTGCTCTTACAATTATGCTCTAAGAGGTCTTTTTTTATGCAGGTATAAAAGGTTGGAAATTGTGGGACGTTTATTGCCGCCCTTCAACCCCAGTGGAGTTGGGAGTCAAAGAGGAAAGGGAGAAACTCAAACTGTAGCATCATGTAGTTAAAGAAAATAACAGATCAAAGAGATCTTATTTAATATATACTTCCCTAGCCCCAAGATAGTCTATATTTTCCTCCATTCGTTTATAGAGTTACCTTTACTCTAAAGCAATTTATTTCCTCTATATGCTGGGATAGAGATCCATTATTTACTTTTCTCTGTAAAGTGTGGTTTCCCCAACACCATCTATTAATCTATCCTTTCCCCAGTGATTTTGAAACCACTTTTATCATGTATCAAATTCCCGTATGTACATGGGCTTCATTCTGAGCTCTCCATTCTGATCTTTTTGTCGGGTATGACGTCTATTTATTATTTACTATGGCTTACAAGTGTGACTTAATTATCTGTTAGCGAGTTCCCCTTTTTTATAATTCTGTTAGAAACCCATAATTTCCCTATGAACTTATTTTATTTATTTATTATTTTTTTTTAAAAAAGATTTTTATTGGGTAATTGGGGGTTGGGAACAGTACTGGGAAATTAGGGGAAGGGGAACAGACAAGTTGCTGTCGTTTTGTTCTTCA